AGGATGTCAGCAATTTGTTTTTTATTCTCAATGAGCTTTTCATTGCTTTGGGAGTAGAAATAGCCCCCAATTAATGAAATTAATGAAATCAAGACGCGTCTGATCCCAGGGATACAGCAGTAAAGACATATACCTTATAATTGAATATGAAATGTTCAATATTAAGAATTTAAATGCGGGAAATATATCTACCAAAGTGTTAGCAGAGATCACGGCCTTCGGCGAGGGCTTGACTGAATGTTCAGGACGTTCAGAGAAGTCGCCAGTGGAAGCAAAAAAGATTATTTAACGACATTAATGAACCCGTTTGACAAGAGCTCAAGAGTTGCAAGGTCTCCACCTATGGGGGCAAGTATAGAAAGTTATAAAGAAAAAAAGTCTGAAGAAGACAACATAAGTAAAACCTCTGAAGATAATGCCCATTGCACCAGGAACTTGGACCAATGATCGATTCGGGTGTAAGTGATTTGGAAAACCTGTGTAAGGAGTTGAAAGAAGAGATCTGGAACTCAAGGCAGAAAATCTAAAATTATAAGGACAGCTGTATGCAATTTCTAATGGCACAGAAAAAGACAAAATAGGTGTGGTCGTGTTCCAAACAAATGAGGAAGAATTGGCTAGAGAAACCGATTAGGCTCCTAAAACCAAAAGAAATTCAAAGAAGAGAAAAGTTAAACGTTCACCTGGAATGGAAGCGACACTGGAAGTGAATAGCATTAAAGTAGAAAAAATTCCACAAAGGAAAAATGCTTAAAATAAAAACCATAAACCTTCGCCTGTAATAGTTAGTAACCTCTATAACTAATTACCTACAGTTTAACTGAGGATCCTCAAAGAGGAAAATATTGACGTGAAAGTACATAATGAACAATTATCAACTGAGAATAAATGTTGAAAATGAATATAGACGATTAACTACAACTGTTAATAAAGCCAGATTGGAATGGCATACTTATGAAAATAAATTGACGAGGCAAATTAAAGTAATGGTCAGAAACCTACACCCATTATGTGAGCCTCAGGATATTAGGTGAATTATCCAAAGGGGATTCAGATGCGTAGATGTCGGTTCGGACCTCTGATACATAAAGATTTTCCCAAAGAGGTGGTAAATGTTTTAATTTGAGAAGAAATTGACAAAAATATAATGCAGAAACGTAAAGAATTTGACGGTAGCATAATGCAAATGATACACATGCTACAAAGAATTGACAAAATTTGAATGCGATTAACTACAATGGAGAAAAGATATACTAACGTATATCTAGCAACCCCAATTTCTGAAAAATGTTGTTAAATAAAATACCAATTGCTAATGGCGTTCTGAGTAGAGAGCAAGAATTGGAGGTTTTTCTTAGAGCTACGAATATGTCTGTTGTTAGAAGTACACTTGGAGAAGGATTTGGATATAGGGCAACTCGCACTGGTAACCATTCAAGAGAAGGTACTACTATTTCAATTAAGAAAAGTATAATGAAGGTTCAAATTGTTTTACTAAAAATTTAATCTACCAAGCAGAACTTCAATGTTGGTTCAGTATTGAATATATTGTCCACCACGATGTAATATAAAAAGGGATACATTTAAGGATCTCCTATCCGCGGGGAGAATAGATTCTTACTGGGACCATAATGCCAAGTGTGTGGATTGGGGTTCTAAATTGACCTCAACTTAAATAAGGGAAGCTATTCCAGAATTGAAATATTCCTATCATTCTACTGGCAGTGCGATTTATTGGCCAAAATGTCCCGGGTCTTTGACTTTTTTATATCTAAAAGGATTTTAGCAAATTTTTTGAATTTCGAAAATGATTGTAATTTTTTTAATGGATACCGTGGGATGGACGATAAAATGGAGTAGCGCAGAAATCGACAATTAAACGATTATAAATGGACTTTCTTAAACACTCAAAAGAAAAATTGAAATTTTAAATCAGTATCATACGAGAATCATATAAAGGGCTTATCGACAAATAAAGAAACGAATTATTCGTTGTGGAAAGCAACGAAGAGTACTGAGAAGCCAATAGAGCGAATGTCCCCACTGAAAAAAACAGATGGATCATGGACGGAAAGTAGCAAGGATAAAGCTGAAATATTTGCTAATTACTTGGGAGGAATTTTTCAACCAAATGAACTGAATTCTAGTGCTTGTTTTGTAGAAGATTTTGGTATGGATGAAAACACTATGGCTCAATTTACACCGAAGGAAATTTGTCAAGCAAAAAAGTCGCTAAAATCGAATGAGGCCCCAGGTTTTGATCTCATTACTGCTGAGATTTGAAGTGACAAATACAGCAGTTTGGCTAATTTTATGAGTTATGTTCCTAGTGCTTGGAAAGTAGCGGACGTTATTATGATCGGAAAACCGGGGAAACCCTTGAATGATTATGAATTTTATGTGGTTTCTAATATCTTTGTAGGGCTTGACTCTGAGTTTCTTGATGATATTGGTTAGTGTGACTTGTGACAGATTAGCGGTGTTTGTAATAACTTTGGTAGGCAGTTGGATCTTGTCTTCGGTTCCGATTCTGGTAGTTTTGCTGTGTCTATTTGTACCAATGATTACCACCCTGTTTCTGTGATGTTTCTAATCTCTGTCGGGATTATTGATTCTGCTGTTGCCTCCGAGAAGAAACATGGCTTCAGCTCTTATTTTCGTGGGGCTGCTTTTATGAATGATTATGATTTTGCTTGATTATTGAACGGTCTATTGCGCTCGGTTGAGTTTGAGTCTATTTTTTTGGTTGATGCGAATGCTGGTGATTGTCTGTGCAAGTTTTATTTGTGTGTTTTTGATTGTTTGTGTGCTTCTGCTTCTATGATTAAGGATAGCATACTCGTGCCTTCGTCTCCTTGGTATACCCCTGAGTTGACGCGTCTTAGGAACTGTCGTCGGCGGATTAGGCTAGAATTTGTTTGGCATATGATAGTTTTTGTGTGGTGATTTATATGGATCATATCTTAGTGATGTTCGGCGTAGTATGTTTGGTAGTCCGACGAGATTTTTTGATTTTATCAATTCTAAGAAGGGGTCTGATGGTTATCCATCCTCACTGAAATTTTTTTAGATCTTCTAGTGATCGTTAGGTTATCTTTAATTTGTTTGCCAGACACTTTTCGAGTGTTTTTCCTTTGGTTGGTTGTGTTTATGATTTGTCTTCGGATTTTGCTGCTTTTGCAAGTTTTGATGGTTTCTGGCGGAAGCCTGCTTGTAGTTTTGATCGTGATGGAATTTTGCTGGGGACTGATTGTGTTCTGCGGGCCATGGAGCGGTTGGGTGGAAATTGATCTCGTGGTCCTGATGCGATCCCGGAAGTGGTGTTGCGTAGGTGTTCTTGTGACCTTGTTGGTCCTCTTAATTCTTTATTTAATTTTACGTTGGTACCTTCCATCTTTCCTTCGGTTTGGAAAGAATCATTTGTTGCACCAGTATATAAAGGGTAAATGTTCTTCAACTAGTAGTTATAGGCCTATTGTTAAGATGTCGACTATCCTGAAGCTTTTTGAGAGCATTTTGGTCAATAACTTCTATTCTTATTGTGGCTCTGTTATTCATTCCTGCCAGCAATGTTTTCAGAAGGGTAAGTCAGTGATTTCTAATTTGATTGGGTTTGTCTCGGATATTATTAATATCTGGAGGGGGTGTTAGGTCGACGTTATTTTTACAGAAGTTAGTAAGGCCTTTGATATTGTTCCGCATCAGGTTATTCTGAGAAAGTTAGTTTGTATATGCTTTTCTCTTCGTAGCTTGATGTGGGTCTATTCCTATTTAAAATATAGGTTGTATCAAGTTTCTTTCTGTTTAACTATGTCTGATTTCTATTGTGCTGTGTCGGGCGTTGCGCAGGTTGTTCAATTGGGCTCCATGTTTTTTTTTGTCGCGACTAACGATGTTTTTGGGTATGTTCTTGCTTTGTGGTTTTGTGAGGACGATTTGTGAATTTTGGTGGTTGATTGTTTGGCGCTATAGAAGGATTTAGATAAATTTGAGGACTGGTGTCGAGCAAATGCCTTGCAATTTAATATTGGCTAGTGCTGAGTCTTGCGTTTTTCGCGGAGGAGCAAGTCTTCTGTTGTCCGACATGATTATTACCTTAACGGTTGGTATTGCAGAGGGTGAGCATGACTTTTTGTTGTCTTGCGGTTATGCTTTATAACGGGTTGGATTTCGGTGCTCATTTGAATATGATTCTTGGCAGGGCTAATTCGAAGTTAGGCTTTGTAATGAGGTGGGCTAAAGAGTTTTTTCACTCGTATGTTACGAAGTATTTGCATGTGTCCCTTGTTAGGCCCATTCTGCAGTATGTTTATTAGGTTTGAGCGGCCTTTCGTGTGGCAGATACGAGTATTTCTCGTATTGTATCTGGTAAGAAAAAATTTCTGGGTTTTGCTTTGAGAGGTTTGGGCTTGTCTGATCCATTTAGTTAAAGTAACAGGCGATCGTGATCAATAGAATCGCATAAAATTAATAATAAAAAAATTTGCTTGTTTGTATTTTTTCTTACCTGGCATTTTATTTAAAAAATATATTAATTCGACCATTTTTGAGAATTATATTGTTAGTACTCGTAGTAATAAAAGTAATAGGTGAACATGAATATTTCAAAAACATTGTATGCGAATTGTAATTTAAATGAAGGTAACCAAAGATCATGATCAATAGAAAGTAAATTTCATTAAAAATAATTTAATAAATTTGTCTCCTAATAAGGAAAATGAAAATTTGCCAACAGGTTTTCGCGTAAATGAGCAGTAACAGAAATAGCGAAAAACTTTAACATGCGAGCAAAATCACGATTTGGGAGTAAAAACCGAAACTTATAGAGTAAAGAGATCCCTTTCAAACGAATGAGTGTCTCAATTTATTTAATTAAAAAATAAAATCTTCAGTTTTATAAACAAAATTCATTTGTATTTTCTTAAAAATTGGCACATATTTTTTAATAACGTTATTTTATACATTTATTAAATATACAATATTCATTTCTGATAACTGTAATTATTGTATGTATAACAATTTTGTAACAATAGAACTTCAATTTATTTGACAGATAATTATTTTTGGAATATTCTTAATATTGTTAACGTTTTTAAAGCATGGTGGAAAAGTAATTTTAACAGAACAGTGTAAATAAATGTAAAATAAAATGCAAGTATTTACCTAAAAGCAAACTAATTTGTAAGCTACGTTCATTCAACAATTTAAATTAATTACAATATTAAATACATTTTTTGACACTATTTCAAATTTTATATAACTTTCCAAAAACTATTTGTATTGGGTTTTATGTTTTACTATTTGTATTGATTCTTTCCAAAAACTATTGAAATTTTGGCTTGCTAAAGTTACACAATATTAAGTATGTTACATTTTTTATTATCAAAAATTTGATTTAATATTTTTATTAAAATTTAACTAAAAAATTTGAATTGAAATTAGTGTAATCATTTAAAAATATATATTAATCGTTTTTACCGACCGCATTGTGTATACAATAGGTAGGTTATGTGATGGCAACAAATTTTGCATGTCGAGTTTTCTGTGGGAACGCACTTCTCCATGGTAGGAAAGTGTAAATAAACTATTTTTTGCAACCTGTCGGTCTGTCAGTCTGTAGGTCTGCCTGTCTATCTGACTGTGTGTGTACGGGTGTATCTCAAGTTAGACTGAACTAATTTTGATGAAATTTTATATGTAAGTTTATTTCGATTATGGCATGGATTAATCTACATTTTGAAATATTTCATTCTTCGGGAACTGGACCTTTTAACGGGCCTGTTTCACATTTTTGATCATTTTCAAGTAAATTCCGATTTCATTGAAATTTAATATTTAAACTCAACGTGTTAACACAATAAATATTTTGAGAAGATCAGAGATTTTTTACCATATCTACGGAGCGAATTAATGGAATTTCTTGAAATTTAATATTTGAACTCTGGTTGTTACCAGAAGTTACTGACGAACTTTTCGTATAATTCCGACGGCATAAAATGAAACTCTCCTAAGAACCAAATTAACATTTTTGTAGGTATGTTAACTTAAAGTTTATTAGTTTCCTTAAAGTTGTGAAGAAGTGTTTAAAACGCATTTTTTATAATCTTCTGGAATACTTTTGCTAATTTAGACAATGTACAATGCTAACCGCATCGAATTTGTTTTATTACTAAATCAGAAATATAGCTATAGTTACGTTTCTTCATCGCTACTTTGTGTACAAACTACTTGTTCCGACCACCAATCGTGAACTTCAAATACCATATTAGCTTGTGTATTATATGATAATATTTTATTATTAATATTATTTATATCAAACTCATTTGATAAATTATTATTCCCTAATACACTTAAATTATTATAACCGAATGCTGTTTGAATAGTACCACTTGTTCCTCCGCCAACTGTACTACCAACAACACCAATCCCACTAATACTGCTACTTATACCACCACTGGTCGCTAATAATTGTGGTTGTTGTTGTTGTTGTTGCTGTTGTGGCGGTTGTTGTTGTTGCTGTGATTGTTGTATTTGTTGATTAAATTGATGAATATTATTACGATGGGATTCTGTAACAGCTGGATAATATAAAATATGGGTATTATGATGATACCGATGATTTATTAATTCATTTAAATGTGGTTGTCGTTGTACAATAGATGTTGATGATGATACAGCTTGACATGCAGCTGATGAAATTTGTGTTAAATTTTTCTTTTTATTTGAATATCGATCTTTATCAACGCTACGTGCTTGTGGATCAGATAATGTTGGAGCTAAAAATTTTCTACCACTTGAACTACCAGTTGAATCAGAGCGATTTAAAATTGTTTTTGTTGATTGTTTTCTAGTACGTAAATCAGATGTACTTATTTGTTGACTACTTGTAGAACTTGTTACACCTGTTGCTATAATACCACCAGTTGATACTGATGTTGATACAACACTTGTAGACGTTGTTATTGGTGATACTGTTGTTAATATAGCAGATGTTTGCCCACTAATTCCACTTGATAATATACCGGTACTAGTTGGTGTTATTGAAATTGTCATTTGGTTATTGACAACATTCTCTTTATTTATTAAATTAATAGCGTTATATAAGGGATCGCCTTGTTCTTGATTGATTTTTGTTGTTAAGCCACTTGTTGATGTACCAGTACCACCTGTTGTTGTAAATTGTGGAAAATTCGTTTGAATTTGTTGACGATCACCTGATATTAGTATACCACTTGAACCGCTTGATCCACTGCCACCAGTTTGTCCGATACTACTACTTCCAGAGCTTGGAGCACCGACACCTGCGTGTAAAATTATAATAATGGATGTTATACATGTTATAAAGTAAATGAATAAATAATATTACGCATACCAGTCTGATGTTGCTGCTGCTGTTGTTGTTGCTGTTGTTGCATGGTTTGTGTTTCTTTACCTTTTTCTTCAAAAACATTATCCTTCATTAGCATTTCATTTGTAGCACGAAGACCGGCAATTAAAGAATTTTGTTGTTTCTATAAATAATTGAAAAAAATATATATATATATATTAAACTTCAACTTACAAAAAGTATAATTATCAAAGATATAAAAAAATAAGATAAAAAAAATTACGCTAGCATTTTGCGTTCGTATTTTTTTAAGACATCCTTCTAACCATGTTCGAATAGTTTGTTTAGCCACTTCTTCTTCTATAATATATTCAAATTCTTCACGCGCTAACAACTCTTCCAATTGTAACGCTTTCCTTATGTCAACTGATCGATATGATAGCATACTAATCGAAGATTATTATTTTAAAGAACGTAATAAAGAAATAAGAAAAAAAACGAATATTTTTCTCACAAAACAAAAACAAGACAGAGCAATATTAATAGAAAATAAATAAGTAAAATATTAAAAAAAAATATAAATGTTAAATTTTCTTGCTAAAAGATTGATTTTATCGATTATTTATCAATTTTATAATGCATGACATATTTATGAATATTACAAATTCATGGTGGGAAATAATTTCTATTCAAATATTTTCATTATTTTATTAAGCTTTTTTAAATTAAATTAGAAAATTTAACTTTATATTCCTACATTTTATTAAATATTATTAAAAAAAATAAATTGAATTGAATAAAAAAAATTAAATAATAATTGAAATTTTAATAACTATAAAAAAATCTCTAAATAAATTATTTTTTATTAATTTTTTTTATTACTTTATAACATCATGGAATGTGACATCTTCACCATTATGCAATTTATCTAATTCATAGCACATATACTTGAATAATAAACGATCCTTTTGTGGATCACATTCAAGTCGTCCTTTTAGTAAACGTAAAATAAATTTAACACGCCTTACTGGTATAACGCCACGTTGATGTATATCGACAATATTCCATGTATTTTGAAAATTTCTTATATCGGCATATGATAACAAGGCATCCTCTTCATTTGAATAAAACAGCGAAAAGTTCTCCATGATAATAGCTAGAAATTTGTATATTAAATGGATACAGAAAGAGAAAGATAAAAAGAGAAAGATACAAAAAAAAAACAATAAAGTATAAAAAAATAAAAAAAAAAAACGAAAGTAAATACAAAATAAAAATAACGAATAAATGCTATTGTTTTCTCTTTCTGGTTTAATGAAAAAGTGTTAATTCAACAATTTTTAATTATTTCTAATAATATATAGAAAGAACGAAAACAAAAAATTAACAATAAATAAAAAATAAAATATATTAAATAACTGTAAATTACGTCAACATATACAGCCCTATCATGAATTTCGTTCGTAGCTCTGAAATTCGAAAACTACGATCCATAATGGAGTAATCATAAATAATGTTCGTAGTAAAGATTACCCCCAAAAGTATGCGAAAGAAATAATCACTCGTAACAAGTAAGTTAAAGGGAATAGTCGTATTAAATTTTCAAACTTCAAATTTTTTGTTTGAGTTTGAGTTACTCTTACACCGCAAAAAAGGATATTTTAAAAAATATTAAATAAACAATTGATAATTAAAATAAAATACTGATTTTAACACTCCGAAAAATGATACTGGCATTGGTGATTCATAATCTCTGCGAAAGCAATTTGTGATCATTCAAAAGTCCACGTGGTAATTATATTCGTAATTCGTAGAGTTCTACGAATGGAATTCATGCTAGAGCTGTTCATGTTTTACTGCAGTCTGCAGCTATAAAAATTTAGAATAACTCCACGCTGCTTGTGTTTTATAGGGTTTCTGTTATCTCAATATAAAGTCTATGTGCGTGACTGTTTGATTGAATTCGCGTTTGCAGTTCTAACCAAAATATATTTACTTTATAAATAATTCGATTCCGCGCTTACATCACACTAATGCAATCACTCACCAATATTTGTATACAAAAAACTCCCTTAGCTATTTAAAGTAGATATATTAGCTATCTCCTTATTTTAATTTTTATACGCATAGAAAGAACAGTAGATGTCCACCTAGCGCATAACAGCATTTTTTTCAGAAATAAAGTAGAGGGAAAATTATTAAGCTTTTCAAAAGCGCACAAAACCAATCCCGTCATTTATTCCAGCACAAGAAATGGTAAAAATGGTGTACCCATATTATAAAAATGAAGCGTTTTCAGTACTTAATTAATAAGCTAGAAATTCAAGCTGCGTTTTTACTATGTCAGCTTCTAAGTTCGAAAATGTTCATTATTCGAAACAAATCATTATTAATGTTTCAAGTCAAGTAAGCAAAATTTTTGATTGACTTAAGTTAAGCCGGCTTTAAGTCAAATAACATTTATATAGACCTAAAATAGGCTTGAAGTAGCCATATACACAGTATGATGTAGTATATGCATATAACTGTGTATCTACTATGCGTATGTACAATATAATATTATATCAAATTTTAAACTCATAAATATTGCTTTCATATATTCGAATGTTTTGATGAAAAATCAATTTTGTTTTTATTAAAATAAAAATTACAAAATTTTTACCAAATTTAATTTAATTTTATTTCAGTTCGCTATTTTTGATACGCTCGTTTATTTACAATATTTGGTTTAGTTTGAGCTTGGGGGACTTCCGACGTGTCCATTCAGACGTGTAATTAAAGTTCTATTTTAAATCTTAAATATCTTTTTTTTTCATCATTACAGTTCTGCAGATCTAACTAAATTACTCTATAAGTTTTTTCAAACAAAAATTCTTTTGCAGTATTTAACGTAAGAAAACTAAAATTCTTTGCAGCATTACCAAAAAAGATGTGACTCCTAGATTGTTCACGAAAACAAAAATTTTCAAATTACTTTTTCTTTTAAGAACTTATAGAAAATTTAAAAACTCTGAATTTAAAAACTCTTTCATAATACAAAATGAATAACTAACGAGAAAAAATAGAGTTGACCGTGTCAATTCTGGGATACCCGTACGAATTTGTTATCCTATGTGCGAGTTATGAATATCCTATAGATGACTATGGGGCAGACAATGACTTTAAGTCTAACATTAACCCTACTAATATATTTGCTTGTGTAAAATTTCAATATCATATCTTTTAGAGTTTCTGAGATATAGCCAAATAAATTTTGAAGTTGTATGACAGCTACCCGAACCACTACACCGATCATATCCGATTTAAATAGGGTTCTGGCACTTATTACAATAAATCATTTGTGAAAATTTGGTGAACTTAGCTCAATTAGTTTTTGAGTTATAGTTGGGACGGACGGGCGGAGTCAGAATTTGACGCTGATCAAAAACATACACTTGAGTCTATAGCTAAGATCGTTATTTCTTAGCGTTACAAATGGTAGGGCAAATTTAGTATACCCTTCGAACATACGTTCGTACGGGTAAAAAATTTTTCACAGTTCGTTTACAGGGTCATTAATTTTTATTGCTAAAATTAATTATATTTCAATCACATGCAATTGGTTTGCTTTGAATGCATAATGAATTATTGTTCTTCTTATGCATTATAAATTACAAAGAAAAATTAATCTAAAAACTAATATTTTTTCAAAGAAAATATTTAATAACAAATTTTAATTTTTCAAAAAAAAATATAATAAATAACAATTGACATGTTTGCGAACACCTGTATACAAATTCCTGCACAAACATACATAAGTATGTACATTTTTGTCATATACATACTTTTGCCGTAATTTATTAATTTCATGCACAATGTATTACCCCGGTATCAAGCCTATGATGGTGTTTTATGTTAAAAATTTCATAATTTAAATTCAGCCAAAATGCATCTCAATAAAACCAATCAGTGCAAGAAAAAAAAAACAAAACAGAGGAGCTCACTAGTTTTCAAATTTGGCTTGGATACAATGATACTCAAATCTGCTAAAATGCCGAAATTGGCTACATTTCATTGTTCTATTTTCTTTAGTTATGCGAAAAAAAAACAAAAACTATAAGAGGCAAGAATAGATAGGGTTCTCATGTACGATTTCATATACTCGTAACTAACTAATGCCATATACAATATCTATGTATAGAATTACAACATATGGATATACAGCGTGTTTCGCAAATAAGGTGGTAAATAATTTCAGGGATGATTTCTTCATTAATTTCCAACAAAAAATGGTATTTATGTATGTGGTAAAAGTAATAAAAAATTTGTCACGATAAACAAACGCACAAGTTCTTGAAAAAAGCCATGCAAATTATGAAAAGCAAAACTGCTAAGAGAAAAACTTTAATATTTTGTTCTGATTTTTTGTTTAAGGGGTCCTAGGAAATAGAAAAAATAATTTAAAAATTTTTGTTCTACGTGAATAATCTATGAATTATATTATTTTTGGCGTTTACATCCACACTAATGCAATCACTTACCAATTTATGTTTAAAAAAAAAACTCTTAGCTAAAAGAATTAAACAGTTTATCTTCTCAATTCCTGTTTTTATACACATAGGAATTATTGGGAGTGGTAAAGTGTACGGAATACGATGCTTACTTGCTTTCTTATAATGTATTTTTAAAGGCGCACAATAGCATTATTTTCGTATGTAAGGTATAGGGAAAAATATTAAGCATCTTGAAGCTGCACAAGAGCACTTCTGTAATTCATTCCAGTACAATTATAAAAAGACAAATAATACTGAAAAAAATATTTTAAAATTGTAATTAATAATTGTCAATAAACGGAATAAATATAAATTATGAATATTTCATTTTGTCATGTCTCTATAAATTTAAAAGACATAAGTACATATTTCCTATCGGTAATAATTTTATTTCATAAAGTATGAATCAATATATGTACATACATAATGTATATACACATTTTTTTTGCAAATTGCTCTATTTCTTCATTATCTAATACATACTGTGTATGTACGTGTTTATATATATGTACATTCGAATGTTTTTATGAAAAACTAAAAATTTTAATAAAATAAAAATAACAAAATTTTTACCTAATTTAATTTAATTTATTTTAGTTCCCAATTTTTGATACATTCGTTTGTTTACAATATTTTGTTTCTTTCTTGCCTATACAACTCTATTGCCATCTATTTCTTAATAAAATTGAAATATTTCGAAAATAGTGGAAGTAACAAGCAAAATAAAACACGAGTAGAATTATTCATAAAACAGACATACTTTGGTTTTCACAAAGATCTGTGATGCAAAAGATCTTCTATCCAATCGATAGCAAGTACTATTAAATAGATTTGCCCAAATATGTACATTTTGAAGATTTGCTAAAAATCAACCTTTCGAGATCTTTAATTAAAGTTCAATTTTAATTCGAACCAAATCAGATATCAAAAAAACAAGCTAATGACATTTAATTAATGCGCCAAGTAGATAAATGTAGATTTAATTACAGCGAACATTAAAATTTTTTTCTTATGGAAGTGGCGTTAAGATGCGTCGTCTATTAAAGAGTGAAATACTGCTTGTGAAGTGAAAATACTGCTTTTAAAATACAGTCTATGTATACCTATCACATTATTAAAATTATTTTCATTCATATACGGAACTATTTCTAGGATTGCATATATTTAGGATGAAAGATTTATGCAGTCTTTGAAATAACGCAAAAATTAATAAAAAGTGGGTTTATCATAATGCTCGATAATTGTGTAAGCTAAGAAAAATAATTATATTTTTTAATGTCATGGAATTTACCGTTAGCTTTTTGCGTTTATAGAAATTTGAAAAAGCTACCGGTTTCGGAAATATAATGCGTCAAAAATTCAAATTTTACAAATTTCAAGAGGCGATAACTAGGGTGGGGGGGGGGGGGGGGGGGGAGATGGAAAAAAATTTTCTTCGAACGAAATGAAGCATTTATTAGTGTCTAAAATCCCTTAAAATTTCAGGCTTCTAGAGGCTGGGGTCTAGAAAATAAACGACATCAAAAATTTGGAAAAAACGGACTTTAGATAACGGTAAATTTTAAAGGCCATTTTGTTTTTTTAAAGTTCAGAAATAGTATACCGCGATAGCAGAAGCAAGCCACTGTGTTTTTGCGTTTGCAAAATTTGAAAAATGCTTATAAGGTTGGCTTCACTGCAATAAATAGTTAAAAAATGCCGTTTTTACGGTTTTAGGGGGGTATAAGTTTAAGAGGTGGGGAGATTTTGTTCAACAGAAAAGGGTTTCTAGTAAAGATCTATGCAAGTATTAAATTTCAGTTTTCTATCTTCAAGGGTGTAGAAGTTTTGTAAACAGACACACGGACAGACGGACGACCGGACGGACGGATAGAGTGAAACTAATAAGCAAAAATAAGTTTTTAGCACTTTTTCAAAAAATTTTTGGAAAAGAGCTAAAAACATTTTGGTAGCAGCAAAAAATTTTAATATTGAAGATATTTTTGTATGTAAAATTTAAAAATTTTAAAAACGTATTTTGAAGTTTTGCACAAAAAATAATCTTCATTTGGAAGATAAATCTTCACTTTTAGTAGCGCTGTCGACAGCATAAATTTTTCTTCTGTTTTTATATTCATATCCCTTATTAGTAGAGAACTTATTATTTAGAGAGTAGAAAGTCATTATTGAGATTACGTTAGATTTTTTGTTGGCATTTGCTTTAGTAGTTTTATTGCAATGCAGTATTAACTAAAAGATCTTCCGCAGTCAGAACTGTAACGCGAATTCAACCCTTATGTATTCGATTGCGGGTTTTATAATTTCAAAAAAATCTTTTTATAATTATGAAAATAGAACAAATAAAGCAAAATACGGCAATAATTATGTATAAACAATTTTTATTGTAAACTAAAAAATTAGAATGCTAGATATTAAAAAATTAAATTTAGTAATTATTTAAAACAAATTTATATTTTGTTTATATACTTGGCAAAATTAAAAAAATACTTATACACACTCAAGTAGTTATTGCAAAACTAAAAGTTGCATGTCTACCTGAGCTCTTAATTCAAATAATATTATTCTGTATAATTTCATTTTGACATTTCTTTAATCTAGGAAATTTTTTTATTTGTTCTGTTTTCAACGTATAAACTAACTTCGAAAACGTCATCTATAATTACTCTTTTGTTTTAATGTTGTATTTTTGTTTGTAGTATGTTTGTATACATCAGGCATGTCAAACTCATTTATCGTCACGGGCCGCACAATAAAAAACTTAAACTACTAAATTATACTCAAATTTTGATTTTTATCATCAACATAAAAAGTGATAAAAAACTTAATACGGTCATACAAAAAAATATATAATCATTTTTTTGAAGAGGTTCAGCAATGTTTTTGGTTGAATTTAATTGACAGGTGTAATTTTTGATATTGATTGAACATGTTGATTTGTTAATCTTGATTTTTCAGCCGCTTTTTTTTTTTAAATATCGAAAACAATTGTTCACACAGATATGTGCTTCCGGACATGGCTAAAACTCACTTATTTAACAGTATGTTAATTGATTATATCTAATAGTAAATGAAATATATAGGTAAATAATTATAAAATTTAATAATTTCCACTTCTATAAATTTTTGTTTTAATACAGAGTCGCATAGCTTTTTGATTTCAATTTTAAATTTGCATCAAATGTTTTAATATCAACAGAAATAGGAAAAGTAAACAGGTTAAATTCATTTTGACATCTTAATTTGACATTTTAAATTTACTTAACTGGTCTAGTTTTTACAAATATAAGAAAATTAAACTGGTTCAAATATATAAGTATTTGATTTATAGAACTGTCGCAGAACCTTCGCTCTGGTTTCAACACTTTCTTACTTAAATCAATCAATTTTAAAATCAATATTTTTGTCTGTTTGACATGCCTGGTATACATAATGAGATGATAACAACTGCAATTCTTACAATATTTATTAAGAAAAAAGCCAATTAAATACTTCAAAATTTCAGTAATACACTGTTATATATTAATACACAATTCACATTGAGTATTATTATGTATATGTAGTTATATAATGTTACTGTTATTTTGAAATCACGGATACACTTTTGATAAATATTTTTGTTCTGTAAAAATAAGTTCTTTTTTTTAAACAAAATTAACCATTTTGAACGGTAAGAAGACTTCTTTTTATTTATATTAAAAAAAATTTATGATAAATTTAATTCAAATGTGAAAATATTATTATTTATGAATATTATAAAAAAAGGTTTAAAATCTTGTTGCATTCCTTTCAAGAGTTAATATAAGTATGTAGCACTCCAAACGTAATAGTAAAATCAATCGTATAACACTATTGTAACACACCAACCTATTTTGCATATATGTTAATAATAGATCATAAAACAAAATTTCTATTTAAAAAAAGCTACTTCCAATAATCATTCCGAATATTTTAGAATATTACATAATATACTTAACCTGACGAATGCAGTGTTTATTATTGCAACGATCCTTTAACCGAAGGGTCTATATACTATAAAAATTATATTCAATACTATATAGCTTAATATATCTATTACATATAAAATAAAAAAATGGTATTAGCAAATGACATGTTTGCATAATATTCAATATTGAATACCAGCAATTTATTTAATCAATAAACTTAAATATTAAATATGAAAAAAAAAAACATGGTGAGCTCGTCACCCACCTATAGTTAAAAACCCAATGACGCAAGAAACTGGGGCACTGATATCTACGATATCATGCACGAGCTCTATATTCCTTTTGGGAGTGAAGCAGGAAATAAAACGTAAACGCTTAAAAGGAACACAACAATTAATATCATATGAGTCCTGACATCCAAACTGCAATAAGTACTAATACATATCTTTACTACCCAATTCAACATAATGGCACTTTTAAGCTAAATTGTGAAAAATATGCAGTATATTATTGCAATTTGCATAATAAAGTGCATGTAAAAAAAATACAATAAAATGAAAAAGAGTACAATTGTTGCAAAATTAAATTCAAAATTAAAATAAAAAGTGAATTACAAGAAATAATATTTATATTGTAGGGGATTTTCTATAATTCAGACATGCACTCAAGCTTCTAAGTTAAATATAAGTAAAAAATGACTTAAAAAATAAAAAAAAGTATTTAAAAGACAAAAAAAAAACAAAGAAACCTTTATTAGAATTTCGAATGAAAGAATGAAGAATAAAATGAAGAACTTTCGAACTTCTATTTGTTTTTCATTTTCTCATTGAAATTTTTCTTTTTTTTATTCCATGCGTATGAATGTGTGCGTGTATGTATGAATAAAATGTATATTTATAAATATAGTTTTAATGTGTGTATGTGTACATACATACACCAATGTAAGTAAAATTTTTTTTCCAAAATAAAAATAATATTAACATAAATTTAGGAAACTTTTGAATAAATAACAATGGGGGCTTATTCTGAGAATCAACCCACTAAAAGTGATAGTGATAATAATCGTAAAAAAATCGAAGTATATTACTACGATTAATATCACTATCTCAGAAAAACTTCGATACTCAGAATACTCAGCTTCAATTTTCTAGAATATTATAATATTGAAACGGAGGAGAAGTTACAAGAAACTTCAATCTGGTATAATTTAATATTCTGCAATATATCGAAATCTATAAACTTTTAAGTGATAAGGCACATGTCCGTGTGTTGCTCTGTATGAAGCAAATTACAAATAAAATGGTTAATATAAAGCCTCAATTGCACTGCTTTACAATTAACTGACTATTCTGTAAACTCTTCTGCAATTGGAGATATCACTCTCAACGTTTTTTTTTTCGTTTTTAAGAAGCTTTTTTTTTTTTAAATTGGACAGCAGACGGATAGCAGAAAAATTGAAACTAAAATTGGTATTATTCCAAAATTTAAGTTATAACATATGGAAAAAAATTTTTACTATATTTTTTTAACATATCTGTATATGTACACACACATGCACACACAGATATATATATATATAAATATATATCTGATATATATATTTATATATATATATATATATAATTTTGATTTTTAACTTTTTTAATATACATACCCACAAGTAAATTAAGCACAATATAAGTTATGATCACATAAAATGTACAAAAATATATTAAACTTGCTGTAAAATTTCCACAATCAGTTTCCCAATAATTTGTTGCCATTGTACAATAAGGTGGTTGAACCATACAATCATGCATAATTTTGTTCCAATCTTCACCGGTAACAATACGGAAAAGCATAGCAACGCCCGTAACTGGTGAGCCGAAATTAGCGCGCCTTCCGATACCCTCACCGTATTTAACAGTGCCAAATAATATTGTACCAGCAAGCGCGTAAAAAAATACTAATAAAAACATACCAAATATTATAAAAAATGATTTACAAACGGATACACCAACAGTTAACATTAACATTTTGAGAGTTGTATGCTTTCCGGTTATGGTGAAGAAACGCAAAATTACAACCATAAAACCAATAAAATATGATAGATGGCTCTATAGATAAAATATTTATATATATATATAAAATAGAGAATAATATTTTTTGAATATATTAAATTATATAATATATAGAAAATATAAAAATATTAAAAAACATACCCGTAGAATAGTTTGTAAAAATATCCATACAACACCGGCAACTGTTACTAATAAATCATAACGATTTCTTCTTGATTGCCAATAACCTCGCGGTGTAAATGCAATATTTTTCATAACAACTTCAATAACAAATACAAATGTTAATATTGTACTCAAGATTACTAAACGTTCTGTATGTATTTCATCTTTTATCCACTATTTTCAATAAATATTTTTTAAAAGAATAGAAAATAAAAGTTATTGATATTAGTTATTGTAAAGTAAAAAGTTTTGATGAATTTTAAAAATAAGCAATAGTTTTAAAAATTTTCGAAACTAAATAAATAATTTTACCGTTATTGATAACAGCATACTATTAATAAGTACAACAACAGCAATAAATCTTTTAAAAGTTATATTTTGTGTTATATCATATGTAAATGCACGAAATTTTCTTCCATCCGGTCTTGGTGGCAAATGCAGTGGCTGAGCAATTTTTAAACGTTTCTTTAAATCGCACCATCTTCTTTGATCGACTGTTAATAAAGCAGTTCCTTTATTTTCAGAATAATTTGCAATAACAACACCAACAAATAATGTTAATCCGATCATACAACCCAAAAATATGTAAATATGAATGTAAATTGCATGAATCTATTAAAAAAGAAAGATAGAAGAGAATTTTAATTTTAATTTTTGCTCATAAAATTAAAAATTACTGTAGAATTTTAACAATGCATTTCACCGAAACCATCATCAGTGTTATTTGAAATATAGAGACTTTTTTTAAAACAAACTAAAGTGAATTGTACATGATTGGTATTTAAAAATAATAATCAACACACTTGCATTTGTTTGATATAAGAGTTACGTGGGAGAAACCCGTGAAATTATGGCATATATAAAACATTTTAAAAAAAAAACCGATACTTTAAAGAAACCAAAAATAGGTATTTTTTTCTAAAGCATGATTTTCCGAAAAGTTTATTATTATATCATTTCCTAACAGAACTATAGAATGGGATTTTAAATAAAAATTCGGTAATTATTGTTTAAATATTTCTAGCCACTAGGTCCTAAAATTCTTTTCTAATACTCCTGGTGCTCGTCATTCGGAAATTGCTTGGGTTGCCGTAACCCGGAAAGGTTTTTCAATCATTTTCACTTTTCTATCTCTCTATTTCTTTCCTGAGCTTTTTTTAAATCGTTAGAGCCTAGTTCTGCTAAAAATATTCGATTCTTGAAGAGGTCTACTTGAATCTACATATATCTCGATTTGCTTAAAATTCATGCGGACCTTGAATCCAAATATTGCACTGAAGCCTTAGTTTTTAATCAAGTTTTTGATTAAGAATTCAGTATTTAGTATTCATTTTAAAACTTAATTTAAAAAAAAATTGTTTATGCATACCGGTCCGACAGCTTTGATTAAAACATCTCTAACATCCAACCATCCTTTAAATGATAACACTTCAAATAACGTTAACATCGCATCACCAATATTATCAAAATTAAAACGCCTTGGATTTGCCCATACTCTTGGTACTAACATTGATGGATATGATTCATTATTACCTGGTACTAATTTCATTTTTGTTACAAATACACGCCTCATAAATACACCAACACAATCTTCACGTTTATATATTGTTGGATCATTGCAACGTGCTAACCTACCACCATATAATTGCACACCATAACTAGCGAACACAAACATTAACAATATTAGTAATGTTGATACTAATAAAATTTCTTTAAAACCACGACATAATTCATATACCACTTTACGCATATGTGGTACTAATGTAAAAATTCTTAATGGTCTAACACAGCGTAATATCATCAATAATTGTGCTGTACTATTTGTACCAACATTTTTTGGCATCCAGCATAAAAACAATGTTGATACAATATATATAAATACGTCTAATACAGATGCAACATCTTTAATATATGCCTTTGGAGTAAAAAATAATCCATCAGCTAAAATTTTTAATGCTAATTCTAAACTCATAAATATAACAAATGCATATTCAGCTATTTGTAAACCAGGATGTTCCATAACTCTATAAAATGGTGTTTCAAACATCATTGATATACAAGATAAAGTAGTTACAAATATCATAACCCAATCCAAATATGTAACAAGTCCCAAGAAATTACTAAAAAGAAAAGAAAAATATTATTAAATTAAAGATGTATTTTAAAAAATCAAAATAATTATAAAAAATTGAGACTCAATTTTACAAAATGTTAAGTTACTCGTATCTTCACATATGTACAAATTAGAATTATTAATGAAATAAAATAGAAGATAGAGTACTAACTCATATATGATCTAAGAATTTTTAATTCAATTTGCATAATTGTATATATATGTTAGATGCAAGTATATAAGTATAAGATACTTACTGTAAACTTTTATATTGAACTTTACGCTCTTTTCCAGTTAAAGGATCTTTCAATCTTGCATCATAACGTCCATGAACAATTTTTTGGCATATTTTTCTAAAACGCGATTCTCTTGGTACCAAAAATAATGGTGTATCAAAAAATGGATGATTTTCACGTAAATCTTCTTCACGTTGATTACGTCTCATTTCAGCTTGTTGCCTTTTGGCTTGTAATAATTTTATATCTAAATCATGTGGTCTAGCTCTTGACGATGTTACACGTGATGCAGCGCCAATATCCCCGTTTTCCATTAAATGCTCGTATGTTTGTTTTAATTTGATTGAACCAGATCTAACACTACGCCGAATTGAACGAGAACCGAATCTGTAATGTCAAAAGATTGGAATTTCTTTTTACCCAAAAACAAAAACTACTAACCATAGAACAAACTAGTAACCAAAACTAAATTGTATGCTTTTTCTTCTTAATATAAAACAATTGTATGTGTATAAATAATTTTAACGCACATGTTTTGTATTTAATGGATGTAATATTATATACAGTTTGACACCGAACTGGTTTTAAAACTCTCAGGAAGTTTATTCATTGACATTTTTTTATGAAAAAAATTGTACGAATAAGCAATAAAAAGAGGGACGGCCTTGACTGAAATCAAAAAAATTAGACTGAACAAAATATCCATAAATGTTTGAGAAAAAACTTGCGAACAACACATTGCTCCACCTTGAACAACTTCGAAACCGTTATGGATATTAGTCAGGTAAACTTAACTATACCTAAGGTTCTAAGTTCAATCATGCTTCCCTCTCTCTTCTTTACGAGCGGTTTTTCTCTAAAAACTCAAAGGAATTATTCCCCCAAAAGTTTGAACACCTGTTTCGAAACAAACTGTATAGCAGAAATTAAAGTAGTCAGCATTTCAAACAAACAAAAAAAAAAAACTAACTTACCAAAAAAAAAAATTTTTTATTTAAAATGCACAATTTTTTGATTTATTGTTAATTGGAGAGCATTTTCCAGTATGTCAAATTCTTCTATTGACTTTTGTCGTAATTCCAAGGCGTCATGACGCAATTGTCATAAGTCGCACTAAACGTACTTCGCCAATGCAATTGACAACCATTTACCATTTTAACGCAATGATTGTCAATTCTTTGACAAACTGGGAAATGACCAGATAAATATTACAATATAATTATTAAATTTCTAATATTCTTCTAACAAACAAGTTTCATTACAAAATTTCATGCTTTCACATAAATGCTAAAATTTCTAATAACTTGAACTTTTTGTTTTTTCATTGGTGGTTTTTATAAAAGTATTCTTTTAAATATATACGAAAATATTTTGTTTTCGGGCATATGTGTAAATTTTAAACGAAATTACACATATATACAAAAAATTATTGTATTCAAAATTAGTTGTGTTTTAAAAAGGCAGTGTATAAATACGAGTACTCTTGTAAAAACCACAATTCTATATAAAATCTATTGAAAATTATATATAAGTATCTTTATTATATAAATCATTATATATACGATGCATATTTATATACAGTGGAACTTGTGCAACATCGAGCTCTCCTATTCCAAAATAAGTTTTGAGTACAGAACAACACAAATGTTAAGAATGTTATTTAGGAGAGTTCGAGTAAGAATAGTTTTACTGTATACTTTATACTACAAAAGTATCATTTTTTTGGTAAATGAATTGGACTACGTACTTTTTTTGATCCACACGCCATGGCTTTGTGTGCGTAATAGTTCCTTGTGGTTTAAGACCTTTTCCTCCAGTAACTGGCAACATTGCCGAATCCCCAAGCATTAAACGTTGATTATTTGAGTCACTTATACATATATGTATATATAAAAATAAATTCTTAATATCATAACATTTCTATATTGTAGGTATTTAATAAACAGATTTATGGTCGAAGGCAATATACTTTCTTTATATGTAAAAGTACTTATATAAAATTAGGTTTTATATACATATATATTAATATTATTACTTATACTTACTTTATAATATGTGTTATTGCTAATTTTCTTAAACTGCTACCCGCTGAACGAACTTTTGGTGTTTTATTCATAATACGTACTGGTTTTTGTTTACGAAAAACAACATTTGATTCCCAACATTCAGACATAGTACGTCTACCACCTTCTGTTATTAATGTTGGATCATCTGTTTCCATTTCGATAACAAATTGTTTCATAAATGATTCACGAACTTTTGGTAAAGTAAAATCAGTTGGTAATTTATGTAATATTGTCATTTGTGGTGCATCCGGAAATTTTTCAAATATTCGTAAACGAAATGGTAATGTCTCTTTTATTTCAGCACTTTGTTCACGAAATTTTAATTGTTTTAATTTTTTAATATCTTCATCTAATTCTAAATTATCTAATATAACAGCAACGAATAAACTTAATACAATTAATGTTACAAATAGATGGTATAATATAAAATAAACAGCAACTAATGGCGTTAATGTTTTACTTGTTCTTATCATTGTTTCATCCATAACTTCAACCCATGCTTCTTGTGTTAATATTTGAAACATTGACATAAATGCTTCAGGAAATGATTCAAATTTTGTAAAATCACATAAAAAACAAAATAATTGCATTGATATCGATGAACTTATTATTAATAAACACATTGTAAATATTATTAATGAACCTAATTTTTTTCCAGGACCAAATATTTTATATACGAAACCTTCTAACATTGGTGATGCTTTTATTAATCTAACAACACGTAATACTTGAAAATATGTTAAACCAGATAAATATAACATTGGTATTATATGTAATGTTGTACCAATTGATAATAATAATTCAAATTTATGAATTGAATGCTTAAAATATCCTCGCCAGCCCAAACAATATATTTTAAATAAAGTTTCTAAATCTAGGAAAAATGTAAATGCAATTTCAATATAATAATAATTTTCATAGAATATATGTCTTGGTCTTCCATCATGTTTAAAGCTCATTGATGCTGTTACAATTCCATTTGCTAATATAACAGTCATAACTAACATACGAAAATATGGCGATCTTAATATAGCATGACATGCTTCTGGTGCTAGACCACCATGTTTATTATCATCAATTGTTACTAAACGCCATCCAGTATCATTTCCATCTAATATTTGTGATGCAGCACATTTTGTTATATGACCTCTAGCACCCCACATTTGTTGAAATTGTACACGTATTTCATTAAATGTTTCCGTTATAACAGCAATAAAAACATTTTTAACAAGCCAAGCTAAGAAAAATATCATTGTGCTGAAATGAGAAAAGAATATATATATGATGAAATAGACAGTTAATTATTTTTTAATATAAAACAACCTAAAATAGAATGCAGCTCTCCATGCTGGTAATGAATCAATAGCACGATACATTATGAATACCCATCCTTCTTGTGATGCTGCCTGGTAAACGGTAAATATACTTGTTGCAATATCTTCGAATCCATTGAATCCAATAACATAACTACTAAGAAAATCCATTTTCATACATTTCATACCAGGTGGACATTGATAACCAGAATCCGGATCAGTTGAACAGAATGTATCTGGTATGGCTAAGGAATTAATTGTTAAAAAACTGTTCGCGTACATGAAAAGGAAAAATAACGAAATTATAAGATATATGTACATAAATATAAAAAATTTATACAAACATATGTATACTTGTTTTAAATATAATTTTACCTCTTTTGCGTTGTATTTAGAACACAGTGATTTTTTAATTCTCCAAAGAATTGAACACCCAATAATCCGTATAATGACATAAAAAATAAAAAGAATAGTGTTACATTGTATATTTGTTGACTTGATCTCCTGTCAAACGAAAAAAAAAATAAAATAAATTTAAAAATTTAATACCGTTATAGTTAGTTATTAATTGCTACAAATATATAAGTTTGTCAATTGTCAAATGTGTGACAAATAAGAGATCGAAAATTATTCATTATTATTAAAATTATTCATTAACCAATTTTAATCGGAATGGAAGCAAAACAAAATGATATTTTAGTTTAATTAACATATTGAGTTAAAATTTTAAGTTTGTGAATGCCTGGTAAACAGTAAATATACTTGTTGCTTGTAATACTTAGTCGTAATAGAATCTTATACTTCTAATATTAGTCGTAATAAATCCATTCACATTATTTAACTATGCTGATAATACGAGTATGTGGTACTTACTCGTAATCGTTTTGAAAAGCGTTTCACTTCGGGTATTCGGTGCACATATGTCGTAAAAATTAAAGGAAGTAATTATTATAGACGCGAATCCTGACATGTGATTTTATATTTAATAAATTTTAACTTTTTACAGGCAAAGCTACAATAATTCCATTTTATAAAATTGCAAAGCGAGTATCGATTTACATTTAAAAAAATATAAAAAGTTTTAATATTTATTTTTTTTTGATACTTACTTAAATATTTGATTGATTCGACTTTTTGGCATTGAAAATTTTAAAAATACTCTTAAAAATCTAATCATTATTAAAGGTCTTGGTGCTCTCATTATGCTCAAATATGAAAATCTGTGAAAGATTGACAAAAAAAAAGAAATACTATTGTACATCTATAGTTTTTTTTTATTATAAAAAAACTTACTTGGGCACAATTTCCAAAACTTCAAATATTTGTAGTATAATGGATACCCACAAAAAAAATACCATTGAAGCATCAAATTGACACCAATGATCTGTTAAATATGCAACATCCCCCTAAAAATTCAGAAAAAATAAAATTAATGTAACGACCGTTATTATACGTACAGTGAATTAAGTTGTTATTATAAAAGTTTCGATAATATTATACTCATATATCTAAAAATTGTATATTAGAAACTTACATGCAAAACACCTCGTATATGCATTTTTGCTATCATTTCTGATGTAAATAATATTGTAACAGCAGTATCACAAACGAATGTTACATATTGTAATGGTGGATAACGTTCAAATGTTTTGGGTGTATTTAATGATACAGAAGTTAATGATACTAAAGCACAAAACCTCATCAAACGTCTTACCCATAATTTATTTACCCATTCAATATCAGCTGATTCATTTAATGATTCTTCTGGCCCATAATCAGCTAAAAATGGTTCGGTACCTTTTAAACTTTGTTTTCTACCTAACATTTTATTACCGATACCAGTTGCTATGCCTAAGCCAATTGGTGGTACACCAGATATTGCACTTGATGGTACCATAGTTGCACTTAAACCACCAGCTAAACCACTACCAGATGATAAATTAATTAATGGACCTGTATTTGTATTACTGCCACTTGGATTCGTTGAACTAGTAGCAATTGTTGCACCACCTCCACCACCACCAGTACCACCTCCTATTCCGCTTGTACTTACAATATTACTACCTGTTGTTCCGACTGTTATAGCACTACTAACACCACCCGAACCAATACCACCACAAATACCACTTGAACCGGCCATTATGTTACTAATGCCACTATTACTTGTCAAATTACTAGTAAGACCTCCACCACTTCCAGATGAAACAATATTTGAAGATTGTATAATATTGCTGTTGTTTCCTGATTGTGTATTACTTGCATTTGCTGTTGAACTTACTATACCAGTAGTGCCACCAATTGTTACTCCTATACCACTAGCACTACCTGTACCTGTGGTATTTGATGTTGGCCCTATCATTAATGAGGATGATGTTTCTGTCATTAAAATTAATATTAATATTATTTATGATATTTGCTATTATAATTATAACTATTATATAATACAAGTAATTGAAATTATTCGTAATTTAATAAACTTTAGGAAGTTGTGCAGAAAAATTCGGCGTTGGTTTTTTGAAAAAAATTTAAAAACCTGTTGATGCAGAAGTTATAGCAAATTTTTATCAAATAAATTGAAGCCTTTTGAAGTACTTTTACGCTATCTATCTATATACATATGTATATGTAGGACGTTTTGACGCGTCGTTTAGGGCTTCAAAAACAGGTAAAATTTTGAAAAAAAAAAATGGGTAGAATTGTTAATGGCGTTCAATAAGAAATCCAGTACGAGTATAAGATAAATATAGATGTCAAACAAAGTTTATTGAAGTAGCCAGTGAGAGAAGGAGGCTTTAGGAAACGGTATAACTTATTAAATTGGTATATATAAATATGCATATATATTGAATATATAAATAAACTTTTAGAGAAAAAAGTCAAAAAATTTATTTACCTGTATTTATGTTAGTCAATAATATCGGTTGATTAATGCTTCCATATCCAATAGTATTGCTATTATTCGTATTATTGTTATTTATTGAAGTGGCCGCCATCCGTTTTGATAACAATTTACCTACATTTTCGTACATATGTATATAAATATATGAAATATTTACATAAAAATTTTGTATTTTTATATTTAAATTTTCTTATTATTTATACATTCTATGCACTGAGAAAAATTTTAATTATATTAGATATTTTTATAACCAGAAGAAACACAAACTATATCCGAAATCACGACAACCACGCTTTATAGCTAATTTTTAAATTAATGTATTTCATACCACTTTATTACCGAGCCCGTTGTGTATACAATAAGGTCGGTCATGTGATGGCAATAAATTTTGCATATCGTGCTTTCTGTGGGAACGCACTTCTCCATGGTAGGGAAGTGTAAATAAACTATTTTTAGCAACCTCTCGGTCTGTCGGTCTGTCAATTTGTGTGTGCATGCGTGAATCTCAAGTTCGGCTGAACCAATTTTGATGAAATTTTATATGTAAGTTTATTTCGACTATGGCACGGATTAATCAACCTTTGGAAGATATCAGGCGTCAACAACTAGACGTTTACTACGAGCCAAATATACATTTTGGCGTATATAAAGAGAAATAATCAACCGATTTCATTGAAATTGAATAATTAAACTTAAGGTGCTAAAACAATAAACCTATAAATCTTTTGAGAAGATCAGGGTTCGGAAACTAATCTGAGAGCCGATTTTACATGTTTTACCATATCTACGGAACGAATTGATGAAATTTCTTGAAATTTGATATTTGAGTCGTGGTTTTTAGCAGAAGTTGCAGACAAACTTTTTTTATAATTCGGTCCAAACAAAATGAAACTCTACTAACTGCCTAATTGACATTTTCCTAGGTATGCTAACTAAAAGCTTATTAGTGTCCTTAAAATTGTAAAGAAGTGTTTAAAACGCATTTTTATAATCTTTTGGAATACTTTTACTAATCTAGACAATATACATTGCGATCAGTTCAAATTTTGCTGTGCTGATCACATCAAATTTTTTTTATTTTGAATATAATTCAAAGCAGTTTTAGAAATATAATGTTTACAAATTAGTTATACTTTTGAGCCGTTTATGAAAATTAATTAACTAGTTAGAATAAAAAATATTTCTGAATGGGCTACAATAATGTCGTTTTTAAATATGAAAATGTCTCAAAAGTGTACACTATATCTCATATTTTAACATTACTTTATATATATTTTTATATATTGATATATTTATATTTTAGTATGAAAAGTAATATTATGAGTAGCTCTTTGCAATATCTATAATTACCTTTTTGCGATAATTAATATTTATTTGGTATCTCTACTTCATTTAAATTTTTATATATTATGATATAAATTTATGACATATGTATATGTCATCAAATATGAGTTGTTATATTGCAACAAGTTTAGTATCATTTCCATGGGACATTACAAATAAATTCGTTCTTATTTGCTAAAGTTTTTCTTTAAATACCGATAAACTTGTGTTTTTCAAAACATTTTTTATTTAGCTACATTTTATTTTGAAAAACAAAAAGCACTATTGTCTGAAGAGCGAAATTGCTAGCTTTATTTTATCCATATAATTGAAATAATTATAGGCCGTTTGACTATAAGAAGCATTGAAATATGTTTCATCATATAAAAATAAGAATTATTTCTACTTTGAGTAAAAATGTTTCGAGTTATGAAATATTTTATTTTCAAAGCAAAAATACGACTTTCGAAATGGTTTATAACCAACTTAGATATGCGTTTTTCTTTCAGTGTATGTATAATTATAAACTTTAATAATCAAATATGGAAAAGAAAAACGACATAACTGGAAAAATTTGAATTCTTTAACTTATATAAAATTATGACAGAAAATATATTATGTGCATATATATGTAGATAAATAAAACTTAACTTACCATTTTTTTAATTAATATAAAAAATTATTTATAAATTTTCTTTTATTCATTGGTTTTGACCGAAAAATCTCAATATTTATTTGAACTTTTATATAAGACTTTTATATGAACTTTTATATTTATTTTTTATTATTAATTTTTAATTAATTTAATTAATTAATTTTATCCTTATAAATATTATCATTTTTTTATTAATATATTAAATTTTTTTTATTATTATTATTCTTATTATAATTTCTATTTTTGCATTTTTGAAAATAATTCTTAACTTTGCGCAGGTATTAAAAACTGTATAATACACAAAATGAATAAAGTTGGATCAAACCAATGGTTTGTATTGTAGCACTTTTCCCTTCAACAAGTGAAAATATTGCTTCTAAAAACAATCTATGTATATCTACTACACTATTAAAATTTTCATTCATATACGAAACTATTTCAAGTATTGCATGTATTTAGGATGAATGATTTATGAATAAAGCAAATGGTTTTCAAATTTAGGATGAATGATTTCGGAATAAAGCAAAAATAAATTTAGAGCAGGGTTAATATAATGATCGATTTTAAGGATTAATTGTGTGAGTTAAGAAAAATAGTTATATTTTTTAATGGCACGGTATTTACCGTTAGTTTTTTGCGTTTATAGAAATTTCAAAAAGCTTGCGGTTTCTGAAATAAAAGGTGCCAAATATCCAAATTTTACAAATTTCAAGAGGCGATAACTTGAGAGGAGGTGGAGATGGAAAAATTTTCTTCTAACAAAATAAAGTATTTATTAATGTCTAAAAGCTGCTAAAATTTCAGGCTCCCACTACCTGGGTTGTAGAAGAAAAACGATATCAAAAATTTTTAAAAAGGGGGTTTTAGATAATGGTAAATTTTAACGGCTATTTTGTTTTTCTAAAGTTCAGAAATAGCATACCACAATAGAAAAAGCCAGGCACTATTTTTCTGCTTTTGCAAAATTTGGAAAATGCTTATGGTTTCACTACAATAAAAAGTTCAAAAATGCCGTTTTTATGGTTTTAGAGGGGGGGGAGATAGGTGAAAATTTTGTTCAACGGGAATGTGTTTCATGTAAAGATCTATATACATATAAAATTTTAGCTTTCTATCTTCAAGGTTGTAAAAATTTTGTAAACAGACACACGGACAGACGGACGGACGAACAAAGTGAAACTAATAAGCAGTTTTTTTCAAACATTTTTGGAAAAGTGCTAGAAACGAAAAAAAGGGACAAAAGCAAAAAATAAAAAAGGAGAAAAATTCATACACTAAGATTTATATAAATGTTGGTATATAAAGTATATATTTTTAACAAAACTGTTATATAGAATCTCCTGTATATACGTACTTTGTATAATATTCGTTTTGCTACAAAACAATATATCAGTCTAATAAATATGACATAAATGAATAGTTGAGAGTTAGGAGTTACATTTATACATAATAAGCATAATATACATTCATTCCGGTAGATGGCTTTTTATAATTATTTTAATATTGAAAATCGCCAAACTCTCTTATAATGTGTATTTAGATTTATGCAACATTTTTTTTGTCCTTCTCCCGTATTGTATAAATAAATATTTTCCGTATAAAAATCTTAAGCTGCATTTACTAAAATTAAATGTATTATGTATGTTAATAAAATGTTAGGGATGTCACTTTTAAAATATATAATTTATATAATGAAATAATTTCCGTATAACAAAATATACAAAAATGTTTTTCTTTTCTTTTAAAAATTAGTGATTATTCCAATGCATTGCTGTTGCATGATTAATTCACAATACACTTAAATATTTTTGTTTAATGATAAAAAGCATAGCAAATTCTTTTTTTAATTATTATTTAAAAATTTTGTTCAACTAAACACAACTAAATATAAAAAAATACTGTATTTAGATTTTATCAAAATGAAAATCTATAATGTCAATTATATTTATTCAATAATATTGTATATAAATTCAGTTATACTTTTAAAAACAAAGGTTTTATATGAAAATGAAGTTTGTAATGTCAACTTCTACTGAAATTTACATTTTTATATCATAAACTTTTACAAATTTGTTTACGTTACAAAAATAATATGAAGTATACAAGGAAACAAGAAAGAAAAAGTTTTGCTATTTTGTTTAAAAAAACTTGTATTTTATTTTCTTTTGAATATTCATGCGCATTGCATAATTTCAGGCATAACTAAGGTATACCACTACATACTTACAGATAAAGTTTCATATACAAATAGTTACACAAAACTTTATGTGTCTAGTACGTTTTGGTATATAAAAAACACCTGTGTTGGAGAGAATAAAGAAAAATCTAAGTAATAAACAGTGTTGGGTCTATAAGTCTAAATTAATAATGATTGATTATACAAAAAATGCAATGTCGTATACAATCCCAAAACTTCAATATATATTTATTTATGTTAAGTGATTATATATATTTAAAAAGGATTATGCAATCACAACGCGATTCATGTTTGTTCTTCTTCCTCTCTTTTTACGTAAAATATTTTTCTATTATCGAACATAAAATATTTTTTGGACTTTATTTTTTAAATTATGCAATTTGTTTTTTCCAGGAATGTCGTAATTTTTGACAAGATTATGTCAAAAATAAAATAATTCTTGTGATTATGTCATACCCTCATTTTTAGAATAATTTAAATCAAAACTCAAAACAAAATTAAAATTTAAGTTTTCAAAAATTTAGGCATTATAAATACCAATATATTTACTGATATAAACATATTTTTGAAATTTATTACGTGATTCGTGGAATAAAATATAAAAAAAACTTCCATTCTTTTTTGGAGTTGTAGTTTAATAGCATCACTTCTCCATGTAGAAAAAAAATCAAAGATCGTTATATTTAAACAAACAATATAACCGTAAAAAAATAAAGTTGAGTCAAACCAATGGTTTGTATTGTAGAAAATACTACTTTTAAAAACAATCTATGTATACCTAACCATACTGTTAAAATTATTTTCATTCATATACGGAACTATTTCTAGGATTGCATATATTTAGGATGAACGATTTATGCAGCCTTTGAAATAAAGCAACAATTAATATAAAGTGGGGTTAACATAATGCTAGATTTTAAGGTTTAATTGTGTGAATTAAGAAAAATAATTATATTTTTTAATGTCATGGAATTTACCGTTAGCTTTTTGCGTTTACAGAAATTTGAAAAAGCTTGCGGTTTCGGAAATATAAGGTGTCAAAAATTCAAATTTTACGAATTTCAAGAGGCGATAACTTGAGAGGCGGTGGAGATGGAAAAAAATTTTCTTCCAACGAAATGAACTAATTTTTAATGTCTAAAAGTCCCCAAAATTTCAAGCTTCTACAGGCTGGGGTCTAGAAGAAAAACGACATTAAAAATTTGGAAAAAAACGACTTTAGATAACGGTAAATTTGAAAGGCCATTTTGCTTTTCTAAAGTTTAACTATAGTATACCGCGCTAGAGTAAGCAAGCCACTGCATTTCTGCGTTTGGAAAATTTCAGAAATGCTTATGGTTTCATTGCAACAAATAGTTAAAAAAGGCCAGTTTTAGGGTTTTTGGGGGGGGGGGGGGGTATAACTTCTAGAGGGGGGAGATAGGTAAAAATTTTGTTCTACGGAAATAAATTTCTAGTAAAGATCTATATACGTATTAAATTTTAGCTTTCTATCTTCAAGGGTGTAGAAGTTTTGTAAACAAAAAAAGTGTCCACGGACGGACAGAGTGAAACTAATAAGCTCTTTTTTCAAAAAATTTTTGGAAAAGTGCTACAAATAATTTGCCTTATAAGTTATTGATTTAAAGTAATAAATTATTAACTTCTCATGTACCATTTAAAAAACTTTGCATCAATATAACTTCAAAAAAAAAACTCTTGCACAGCTGATTCAATATGATACGCATGCGATGCACATTTTTGACATTTTTGGAAACCAAACTTTAAAGTGTTACCGTATTGTTACCGAAACTGCATCGACTACTTTACGATTATACCAGTACTAAAAAATATTCCAAAAATATTAAACTCAAAAAAAATCAAGGTAAAAAATTGATGAAACTCTAAAATTCTTGAATCTATATTAAGTTAATCTTTGTGCAGAAAGAATCCCCAAATTCCATTTTTCGTTGTAGTTTTTTTCCTTGCATTTAAAATATTACAATCAAAAAGCTAAAAATGTTTTTTCTCATTCGCGCAAAATAATTTGAAAATGTTATAATTTGAGTTTAGTTTTGAACTTTGCACATATTTATACGAGTACCCATATGTATATAAGATATAAATATTATTTTAGCCGTATAATAATAGGTTACCACAGGTAAATGTTGAATTACAAAGAAAAAGAAGTAAAAAAAAAAAACAGAAAAAAGAATAAATAAATAAAATAAAATTCAGAAAATGTCATACAGCAAATATCAAATTTGATGTGATCAGTACATAACCGACAACGCATTATGCCATATTTTCTGAATTATATACAAAATTCTAATATATCAATTTTTATTATAACTGTATAATACAGCGAAAGTGTTATATAAGTTTCCTCCTTTCGGAGCTAAAAATTCTAAACATTTTAAAAATTTAAAAATTAATCAGTTTAAAAGATCTTTTACCCCATTTAAATTAACACGTGCCCCCCCGCACGTTCACAATTGAACTTTATTTGTAAAATTTACTTGTGCAGACTTAGTTTCATTTACTTTTACTTTCCATTTCTTGGTCCAAGCATCAAAACTATTGCTTGCCTGCTGCAACTTTCTTGTGGCGTCGTCAATATTTGATGCTACTGCCATAATTGCAATATCGTCAGCATATGTAACCACAATTGTGTTTTCTATTTGAGGCACATCTCTTGTAAAGAGTAGATATAATATTGGATGATTTCTTAATTTGTATACCTAAAAAGAATTAATTTATATATTAAATTTCAAGAAATTAAATTAATTACAAATTTCTCTATATACATGATTAAAAATATGAAATCGAGCGAAATTTTTGGTTTCTGAATACTGATATTCCAGAAAAATTTCATTCAATTGATTTGTTTCCCAAAAAAAAACTATTTAATTAGTTTTAAATTATTTTAATTAGTTCTGTATATATAGAACTAATAAGCATGTATATGCTTGAAAATATTTATTTGACACCTAATATAAAATTTGACGCCTAATCTATTTACTGGAATATATTTTTTTAAGATAATTGCGAATAGAATGCCAATGCAGTGGAAAAGTTTTTAATTTTACAGCATATTCTATGGGTCTTTTTCATACTGTTCGTTTTTCAAAATTCGTTTAAAAAAAATTAATAAATATACTTTCTTGAATTATAATTTTTAAATTTGTAGCTTTGTATATTAAACTACATGTTTCAGAAAATACAATTTCTTGTTTCAATTTATTTTTATTGTTACTAAAATCTAAATGTACAAAGTTAATTAAATATAATTTTGCTAATTAATTTTGAGTTATATAAATAAATGTACAGTTTTTCTCGCCAAAAGAACATTATTAGACGAAAAGCTTATACATAATTTATAATTATACAGGGTGATTCAGAAAGGTATACAATAACGAAAATGGGTAAAACTTTTGTTCCGGACCAGGTGCGAAATCTCACGAGTTTTCGAGATACAGGGATTTTAATGAATTTTCATGAACTTTCTATTTATCCAAGATTTTTTGCTTATAGCTTCGTTTCCGAAAAAGATAGAAGCTTCAAATAAACAATTTTTGAAAGGACTAGTTCAGGGCTTGAAAGCAACATATTATTTGACTTTGTATTTAATGTATTTTCGAAATACCAAGCAGTCGAACTTTAGAAAAAAGGTAAAATTTCACTTCTTTTATTTTTTTTCAACCGGGTTGTTTTTTTCCAAGCCTGGTATGGTATAAGACCTGGATGGCATGACTTGGGAGACATGAGGGCCAGATTTTTAAAAATTATGTATTTTGCTATGCAAGCGTGCCGAGAAATTTTTATAAAGGAATGAAACTGAAATATAACTTTGTATAACAATTTCAAAAAATTAGCTATATAATGTGCATACTTACATGTATGTAAGTATCAAATAATTTTAATTTTAATAAAAAAAAATTATATCAGTTCAATATTACAAAATGTAAGTAATAAATAATTAAAACCGACAGAATAATTCCCCGCACTTTCACAATCTGAGTTTATAAAGTTATTTTTGAAATATCTAAAATTAGATTTAATTGTTAAAATAGCAATTAATCGAACCACTGATGTTAAACCACTGATTAGGAACTTCCCGAATATTATGTCTGACCTATAAATGGACACAAAAGTGCCAAGTTTCATGAATCTAGCCTTAATATTTTTCTTAATATTTAGAATATTTAAAATTTTCTTTTGGAGTTGTATGGCAGCTACCTGAACCTGTCAAGTCTTTTCACCAAAACTTCAAGGATATATGTGACACATAATTAGACACACGACTGCCAAATTTCATGAATCTAACTCTATTATTTTTTTAAATATTTTAAATTAGCTTTTGGAGCTCTATGGTAGTTATCCGAACTTGTCAAGCCATTCGACCAAAATTTCAGAGTTATATCTGATCTGAAATTGGACAAACGATTGCAGAGTGTCATGCATCTAGCTTTATTATTTTTTCAAATATTTAAAGTTAACTTTCAGAGTTGTATGCCAGCTACCTGAACCAGATGACCGAATTGGTCCAATTACAATAGCAGCCGTCGTTGGCACAAGAGCAACAACTTGTGAGCAAGTTTGGTGTCAAATACCTTATTCGTTTTTGAGTTATCGTGCAATCGAACGATCGGACGGACGGACGGACGGACATATCTAAATCAACGCAGAATTTTACGCTTTATGAATATACATATATACATGTCCATACCGGAGATCACTCCTTTAAGTTGATACAAACTCCATACCAAAGTGAATATACCCTTCACGAAAGCGTAGGGTATAAAAAAAAAAAAAAAACAATTGAATTTTGTACGAAGCTTGAAATAAACTGTATTTACAACACCAACACTTGAATTATTGTAAAAAATTCAGGCTTTTATTAAAACAAATGCAAGTGATAAACAAACTAAAAAATTGTTGAATAAATAAAATAAAAATATGAAAATGTTCAATCACACCGTGTGCCATAAAAAATTCGAAACGTGCCAATTATTTGCTATCTAGGGTATAAGAGATAGCGGAAAAAAATCAAGATTTCAAATATGTCTAGATTTCAAGGGCTCCAATAACAGGTAAATTTCAATTTTTAATTGATTTAAAATTTAATAATATAAATAAAACTTAATCTAATTCTAAAACACTAAATACAAATTTGAAGAATAAGTTAAATTTGTTTTATTTAGGTATATGGTAAATAAACGGTACATCGTATTTCCATTTTCTTCATATTAATTTCTGGCTAAATAAATAAATGCCTGTGGTGATATAAAACCTGTTTGCATATCTTATGTAATCTCCTTTTTTTATATCATCGTCAAATTTTTTATTTAACATATTGAAATTTGATGCTATCACAATACCCATTTTATGTATTCCTATTTTACTGGATGCAATATATTTAGCTACTACGATCGAAAAAACCAACGATCATTGCAACAAACAATTTTCTGTTTCTGCTTTTTTCTTCTTGTATTTTTTTTTTTTAAAGAAGTAATAACAATAAGCGAAAATAAAAAAAAAAAATATATTTTAGGTATCTTTTTTGAAAATTTTTTGTCTTATATGAAGAAGAAGAAGAGAGGGGCGCTTTATACTTAAAGCCCCACTTTCAATTTTATTATCATTTTGTGTTTTGAAGTGAAAGGAAGAATTTGTTATAGTAAATTTTTTCGCGGATTTTAAAAAAAAAAATTTTTTTTTTTTTCAGTTTGGTTTATTTTTCTGTAAATTGTGTGGCCTGGGGTATAAAATAGTGTTAACCTGCTGTTTATTTATTCATTTTTTTCTTCTTTTTTTCAGCTCCTTTTTTGTTGTTTTTTTTTTTTGTGCATTTTTAATTTATTTATTAAACGGAGACGGTCATAAGTTTACCATACGGCAATTTATATATTTTTATATGAAAATAACGAAAATTTAAGAAAACAAAAAAACAAAAAACGTTATTTTAAAAAAAAATCAAAAAATGCAATAATATTAAAAAAAAAAGAAATATTTATACTAAAAAAAATACGAAAATAAAAAAAAACTAGTGTTTAACAAAAAAAAAAATACAATATGTATATATAAAAAAAATTTTTTTTTGTTAGAAAAAAAAAAATAAGGTTTAACAATTGTGCAATTTGAATTAAAAAAAAAAAATTATAAAATAAATTTTTTTTAAATATAACAGTTTCCTTATTTTTACTGTAATACACTTAAACAAAAAGAAAAAGGACGTATATGGAAAGAAAACCAGAAAACCTGCAGAAAAATAACGTTTTTGTCTTCCAAACTTGAGTTCCAAAAAAAAAAAAAAAAAATCCTTGGATTCCAAAAATAAAAGACTGCAGTAAAACATCATCTACTACCCATATACATACACACATATAGAAAGAAACAACTACAAAATCAACAACATTTTAACGAAAATTTGCAATCAAAAAAAAATTCAAAAATTTTAATTTTGCAATAATGAAGTATAGGTAAGTTAAAAAGAAACAGTTATACTGATATATATACATAGATCAAAAATTTAATGTTATACTCGTATTTTAAAGTACCTAAAAATAATATTAAAAAATATTTATATACGCATAGATTCAATGCAATAAATTGGTTTTCTTTGATTATTTATTTAAACTGCAAACAAAAAAAAAAAATCAAACTACAAAATCAATCCATTCAGTTAATGTTTTCTTAATATTAAACTCATTTAAAATTTTTTACATTACAAGATCACTTAATTTTGTTAACAGTTAATGTTCAATAAAAATTTCTACAATATTAATTCGTAATGTGTATGTTAGCTCCATCGGACATCCAAGAATGAAGGAATAAATAAAACATAACTCATATACATATTTAAACCAATAAGGGTTTTGTTCGTTGCTTAAAAACATATACGGTAAAATTGTTCAGAACTATATTTGAATTTCTATTATACAATCATTATAAGAATTACCTTTTTTTAAGAAATGATAATTATATTTTTTTTAAAAGCTACTTACAATTTATTAGGAGTATTTTATTTAAAAAATTTGAAATATCTATATATACCCAGAGTATTACGTATACAGGAAACGTTACGTTCTAAACAGTAATTAAAAATTTTATATATTAACCTTTTTGTTCCATTTAAAAACTGAACCTTTCAATTATATTTATGGAACTAAATAATTATATTTTAGATAATTTAGATGCCATCATCTTCAAGAACCAAAACACATAATTAAGCGGTTACATATTACCGTCTAAACTATTGCTTTGGCAGTATAGTAATTATAAATAAATCTGACATTTTCATATATTTAATATACATAAAATTTGTAATCGATTACAATATTTATAAACAAGTACTCATAAAAATTATGGAATATTTCGTTAAAATAGCGCTTAATTTAACGATTACTTTTTTGCAATCTTTTCTCTACGATTGCATTTCGATTTGCACTTGATGAGTTTAAAATAGTAAACTTTGATTTTAGTTTTTTCTCAGCGATTACATATTTTTATGGTCTATGATTACAATTGTCATTTTTATCGATTATCGTTAAAATATCGGCGGAACATCTCGTTTCGTTAAAATCTCAAAATTTTATGCTTATTGTTGACTAAGGTTTTCTCTTTATTGCCCATAATCAGTTCCTTGAGATTCCTCTTTTTTTTTCCCTGATTCAACTGAAATTCGTATTTATTGTAAAATTCTGATAAAAAAAATCTGTTAATTAAATCACACATAACAAAAAAAAAAAAACAAATTAAAAAATATAAGGAAGTATTCTTTGATTTTTTTGTTGTGTTTTTTTTTTTTGTTTTTATTTTAAATATTTTGCAGTACATATAACGAAAAGACAATGTAAAAGGTATACAATTTAACTGTATCTTATAACTGTCTTGCACAAGAAAAGCAAGGTAAACCAGAAAAATAAAAAAAAAAATGTTTATATTGAAATTTTATAATTAAATTTGTGTAAAATTAAACCGGTTTATTTATTCACCCAAACTCTCCTCTACATGGGCATGTTGCAACTAAACAAAAATTAAATATACACATTCATACATATATAAATATGTTTTTATATTGCACAGAAAATATATTTTTCGTAAGCATTCACATCTAGTAATTACAATACATTTAAAAAAGAAGTTTTATTAATACAGATACTTATAATTTTTTGGGTGGGTAATTATGCTATATTTATTTTTTTAAATTAGTAATAATTTTATATAATACACACAACATTATATATGTACATGAACTAAAGAACATGGACAATTTCAAACATTCTGTACTCACTTATATTGCATATTTTTGACGTATAAATTTAATAAGAACAAGTAAAAACGTTTCAGCCGGTGTAAACTAACCGAATTATAACCTGCATCTTGGCATTCTGGGTTTAGAAATTTGTTTTTGCAATATCTGGAATTAACTTTCATTGTTGTATACCAATTACTCGAACCTGTCAAACAAATCTATAGAAATTTCATGGATAATATGTCTGACCTATTATAGGACACACATCTGTCAGAATAATAAAGTTTCATGAACCTAACTTTATTATTGTTTTGAATATTTCAAATGAGCTTTTGAGGCTCCATAGAAGCTACCCGAATTAGTACAGCCTTTCCTTTAAACCTTTAGAACATAATATGTAAGATATAATTGGACACACGTTTGAAAAATTTAAAATGAATATGTCTATTAGTTTTTGAAATTTTTAAAAACCTCTTTGAGCTGTATAGCAGCTATCCGAACCCGTTGTCCGAATTGTTCCAATTACAATTGCAGTACAGAAGAAACAACTTTTGAAAGTTTGGTGTGGGTGCATTATTCATTTTTAAGTTATCGTGCGATCGGACAGACGGACGAACATGTCTAAATCTTATCTATAATGTCTATACCGGAGACGACTGCTTCAAGTAGTTACAAACTCCATACTAAAGTTAATATACCCTTCACCGAGGAGCAGGGTATAAAAATACAATAGATAATTGCGTGTGAATAAAATGGAATATATGCAAGTTATTTTTGCCGTTAGTCTTGCATTAAAAATTACGACGCAAAAATTAAAAATGATGTTATTTTTTTTTTGGAAATTTAAAAGGACAAAATTAGAATTCTAATATTATTTACATTGTACATATATCTTTTTTGAATCCTGATTAATTTTTGATTTTTAATATCAAAAGCGACATTAATTTAAACCCCAATCAATAGTTTTGATCTAGATAATGAAACTTAGTTTATATTATTATTACCATAGATTGGAATTAATTAACAGCATATTTTAATTAAAATTAAAATATGCTTTTAAATATGCACTTAAATATTCCCAAAATTTTTAAGAGAAATACCTAAAAAGGTCTTTTTTTATTATTAAAAAAAAATATTTATTATTCATAACTTTTTTATTTCGTACTCTTCGTTCTTTTTCTCAAAAAACAACAAATAAAGTTAAAAACCAAAATAAAGCATTTAAAAAGACAAATTCAAGATAAAATCAGTAAAACTAAATTATATAAATTTATGAAAGCTTGCTCTTGCATTAACGCATTAAAATAACGTTGTGTTTTATATGACAGTCAGTCATCAATATCTTGCATTTTGAAAAACTTCAAAAGAAGTTGTCGGATAATATTTCAAACGCATTATTTCTTCAGCTGACAATGAACTTTCGGAATTTTTATCATTATTAAAGATAAGAAAGATAATTAAAGATCTTATTAATATTATCGATTTTTTTCTTTACAATTTAATTGAATCTCTATAGTGAATATAATTTCACCTTTACATGCATCTTATCGATAGAAAATATTTTACTAAGCGAAATTTTTTGAAGATTCTGTTTTTTATATTGGTATTTTCTTTTATTCTGATTAACTCTTGAACCTAATATTCAAATTATAATTGTAAAGTCAAATTTGTAATTAATCGAATTTTTTTAACTCTAGAAGGTTTTTCAATAAGTATATTACACTCTCTTTCAAAGGATTCATTGTACGTAAATATTTTATTAAAAATATTTTTCTGAATGTCGTTTAATTAATCTTATCACGCAGGGATTCGCTGTCAAGCAAGTTCAAATGTTCAAAAATCTACAAAAAATATTTAAATAAAAGTTACCAATACTCCTTAGTATTGTTAATATTTTACTGAAAGTATGGAAATTAAAGTATAATAATCAATTCAGCTTATAGATTGTAATTGCTGATATTCTGATCGTAATTTTTAAATGCACTAAATATGAAAATCGCAAATTATTTTTATGGGTTGGGATCACTTTTTTTATTTTTCTGATCATTTTATTAATATTTTACATTTGTAATAATTTTTTATTAATTATGTTCTATTTTATTTTGTATTTCTATATGCCTCCAGAAAATAATTTTTTTCGTTCATAACTTATTTTTGATTTATTATCCATAGAAATATTATGCCCATGTACATATAAATTATATCTATATAGAAAATAATTTTAATATACTTTTACTTTTTTATATATTTATAGAAAAAAAAAAAGATTAGTTACAATAAAATGCTATACACGGTCATATCTAATTGTTAATTTATATGAAACTTTTACCAACTTTTACTTAAAAAAAAAATAGAAGTAAAAACGTTTCGATCGATTTTAACTGACTAAATTATATACCCTACATCTTGATAATCAGAATATAAAATTAATTTTTGAAATATTTAATATTAGGTTTTAGGTTTATATGGCAGCCAGCCCGCATCTGTTAACCCATTTCCGGGGTATATCTAACTAACTGCAATTGGATTTCATGATTCTAGTTGTGTTATTTTTTTATCAGTATGCAAATACCTTAAAATTAGCTTTTAGGGTTTTGTATGGCAGCTCTTCGAAAATTTCAGTGTAAATAAATTTCATATGTAAATACGTCAACATTTTTTGTTTTTGCAAAATTTCATATTATTAGGTCTGTCTGGGATAAGAAAGTTTTTGCATGCGAACTGTCTGGGATACTTTTTTAACAAAAATGAGAGAAGATGATGACATTCTCATTTTCTCATTGTTTAAAGTTTTTTCAAGTTTTGTAAAGTAAAATTTAGTGTTTTAAAAACTTTTCAAATTTTACAGCTGTCAAAACATATATTTTTCTTGGTTATGTCAGAAGGTTTATTTTTGGAAAAAAAATTTTCATCAAAATTAACTTTTTTTTTTAAAGCTTTTCAATTAAAAATAAAATAACCAAAATTGGTACATAAATGGTTATTTCTAAGTTTCACACTTTTATAATCCAAAATTAAATTTTTTGGTTTTTGGTATAACCAAAAAAAATTTGTTTATGTTTGACAAATACTTTGAAATTTGACGTTTATCACATATTTATAAAATATTTAAAAGTTTTTTCAAGTTTTCTCTCTGGTTTATTTTTTTTAAGTGAGAATTTTTTTTCTCTTTGAGAGAAATTTCGTCATTGTTTCTCTTTTTAAAGTTTTTGCATGTTTTATCCC